TACAGGAGAGGGGTGCAGGAGCCAGTGTGTTTGCACGAGGCGAGGCCTTGCCTGAGGCCGCATGCCAGGGACCCGCCGGCGGGCTGGAGAAATTCCAGCGGAACAACAAGAAATCAATCCCTCCCATTCACTTTTCATTTGGAGAGCTCAGCAGGCTGTTAATCTCTGGGCCCCGCAGGAAACGCCCCACGATGGGCCCTGGTGGTTTTATTTTTGATTCTTCAGAGGCGGGGGTGGGGGAGAAAGACGCCAGGGTCGGCCTTTCCAGGGAGTTGGAGTGAATTTCACGCTGAGCGACCCAGAGGCTGACCCCTTGGAGCCAGGACAGCAGCAGGGTGACCTTTCCCCAGTCTACCCTGGTGCAGGAAAAGGAGAGCTCAGACTCTGGGGGAGACAGCAGCTCTGCCACTGATTGGCTGCGTGTCCTTGAGCAGGTCACATGCCTGCTCCGTGCCTCGGTTTCCCCAGTCGTAAAATGGGGGCCATACCGACCGCTCGCCCTCCCGGGGCGCACTTGTGAGGTGAAATTCCTGGATGTTGAGCAAGGGCCTGCTGTTGCCACCATTGAGCTCTCCAAACGAAAACGACGGGAGGGATTGATTTCTTGTTTTTCGCTGGAATTTCTCCACTACGCCGGTGAGTCCCTGGCATGCGGCCTGGCTCGGTTCACAGAGGGCTGCTCCACGGCCCACCTCCTGCGCAGCATTGGGACGGCGACCGAAGGCAGTGGTGGAGCCCGTGGGGGGAGCGGAGGAATCCAGGCAGAGCCGGATTCAGAGAAAGGGACCTAAATCCACTCCATAAAGCCCTGTCCCTGGCAGGCGGAGGCCGGCCTCTGTGCATGGCCCTGCCATAAGCCACCTGCTGGCACTTTGATCCCTTTCTGCGCGGTGACAGGCAGCCGGCGAGCAGAGTTTATCCCCTGCTGTGGCAGCTTGATCCGCGCAAAGGCTTCGGCCCATTGTCAGAGATTTTCTAGCAGGGGCTCAGGGGACGCCCGGACAGCTGAAGCGAGGAGGCTGGGGGTGGGGGCAGGGCGTGGGGCGACTCGCAGGCACTAGCGGGGGGGAGGCAGTGCAGGGTGGGGGCCCGGGGCCCACCGCGTAGAGGGGCAGGCCGCGGGGACCAGTGAGCTGGAGGGCAGGGCAGGTTCCCAGGTGCCAGCAGAATGCCAAGCGTCCCCTGCTGCCCCCGGGGAAGGGAAACCTCTGACCGATTCCCCGGAGACCAGACGGGGGCCGGTAGCTGCAGTGGTTTAAAGCAGGGTCACCCCTGCCTGCCCACAGGCACTCGTTCGACAGCACCTCAAACCCAACCGCGTTAACGGGACGGGGGTTGGGTCACTGGGACGCCTGGCCCCAGAGCGACTCGCACCCAGTGTGCACCGTCCCCCAGCAGCCTCCCTCTGGTTCTTCGCCCGACGACACCCCGTCACTTTCGCTCTCTGTAGCTAGTCACAGCAGCACCCAGGCGGGATTCCCGCGTTTGAGAGTCACATGCACCCCAGGGAAAGTGACAACAAAGAGAACAAACAAGCTACAACGCCCCTCCCCCGGGTCAGACCCTGCAAACACCTGAGCACCGAGCCAGTAGGGGGTCAGGTGCCTAAATCCCTTTGAGGATCAGGGCCAAGGAGGCGTGGGAGTATCTGCAAAACTCTGCGTGTGCCCTTCCCCCCTCCCTGCACTGGTTAGGTTTTGTTTTACATTTCCCGGGCTGTATTAGGAGTGTGTAAAATCTATTACTGGGGGTGATTAATAATGAAAATACGACGATGATCAAATACAATTATCAACAGACCTTAATTATATTTCCTATTAATATCCTAATGGGAAAAAGTGACCACTGACCCGAGCAAATTCTTTGAAAAACCCCTTCCTCGGCGCCTCGGCTGGGCTCGAGAGTTGCCTCCCTGCCGTTTTCGGGCTCTGCGGCGTGGTTGTCGCCGGCTCGGGCCCAGGACATTAGCAAGGTCGGGTGGGCGAGGTCACAGCTTTATCGGTTTGGGCTAGAGCGGCTGAGCGGGGCTTGCTCCAGCCTGGTCAGACGCCCAACGCTGTTTCTTAAAGGAGCTGTTTTAAAATTCATTGTAACTCACGCAAATCCTTGAACCCCCCCGCCCCGTCCCAGAACGCAGCGCTGCAGCCGCCGCACGCTCCAAACACAACAAAGAGGTCGAATCGCGGCTTTGAGAGCAAAGCCCGACGCATCCTGGCCCCTCCCTAGAAACCCACCTTCGTGGGAAAGGCCGGACTCGTGTAAATCTGGGTCAGTCGGGGCTGCAGGATCGGGCCCCATGCGCATCAGACATATCTGTTATTTCCCCGGGCACCAGCTGAGCTCACAACCCCTCGTACCCGGGGCTGCGCTGACTCGGTGAGAGCCAGGCCTGTCCGCAGAGCTCCCCATGCAAACAGAGGCAGGGCTGGGATCTATCCCCTTCGGGTAAAGGGGGCCGGAGAGATTAAAGGGACTTGCCCAGATCTCCTGGGTCCCAGGCCAGGGCCTGTCATGAGCCCTGCTCAGCTCCGGCAGCAGAGCTCCAGGAGAGTACGGCATTAGTTATCAGGACGTAGCACTCCTCTCAAATACCGTAGGGTCCAAATCCTGCCGTGGGCGAGCAGGCCTAAGATCCACACGCATTGTCACACGGAGGTTCCCACGGATCCGTTATACCCAGAGCATTAGCGCCGACGCCAGCCCGTTGGACACGCCGAACCAAGCTCCATTCACACAGCTCCTTCGGACGGCTGGCGTCCGGGAACAAACGAGGGGGAAGAGCGCGGCCCACGGGGAGGTGAAGGGAGCGCTGATGTTCCCGGGACTGGAGGGCGGGTGTGTTCCTGAAAGCCCCAGCTCCTGGAGTCAGGAGATCACATGGGATCTGGGCTTATGTGACCAGGCCGGGGGAGGGGGATGCTGGCGAGGCTGCCTGTCTCTTGCTGCTAATTCTGTTGTATGCTAACAATAACCCCTGTCTCCAATCAATGGCTGTGTTAGTGTCTGAATGTGACACAGTTAATGATCATCTAGATTCATAATGCAGTGCTTATAGTCATTATATTTAGCACTCTACGTAATTAGTTCATAATTAATAATCAACAATCATATAGTGAGTCTATGATCGTTATGTGGGGTATTACATGATCATATAGCGAGTCTATGATCGGTATGTGGGGTATTACATGATCATATAGCGAGTCTATGATCGGTATGTGGGGTATTACATGATCATATAGCGAGTCTATGATCGGTATGTGGGGTATTACATGATCATATAGCGAGTCTATGATCGGTATGTGGGGTATTACATGATCATATAGCGAGTCTATGATCGGTATGTGGGGTATTACATGATCAGATAGTGAGTCTATGATCGGTATGTGGGGTATTACATGATCATATAGTGAGTATATTCATTGTAGTTGTATGGTGCGGTATATAGTAATACTAGACTACATAAATATCATCACTATCAGCTGCTAATTACGAACTGATCTCTCGCGTCATAATGGAAGGGTATGAATTCTATGTACAGATGATATAGAGATGAATTATTAACAGTAACAATATAATGACGATCGAGCATCAGGATCCCAAACGAGGCGTGGGACTGGCCCCCACCCCACCAGATCCTGGGATGGTTTTTAGTCTCTGTTGAGTTTTGCCGACCCGCTCGCTCGTGACAATTGCTGGCTCTAGATCTCCCCAATATATTCAGGGCGATGAGTCCGGCCCGCGCTGCAGGAGCTTCCAGCTTCTCCCCAATCCCCTAATTAATCAATTCAGCCCCCCCAGCCCCACAACTGCCCCTCCCACAGCCCAGCAATTACTTATGCCCCCACATCAGTTCTGCCCCCTCCCAACCTCACCTCCTGCAGCTGCTGGGGTCTTTACCCCCCTCTCCCAGGCCTGGGATCCCCCCCACATGTTACAGGGAGGAAAGGGATGGGGGAGGGACAGACTGACCCATTGTTCACAGGGGGGGGCAGCTGGGCTCTTTCTGTTCTCTCCCCCCAACCCAAAGCCCCTCTTGGCTCCTGGGTGGGAGGGGGGAGAGCTCTGCCAGCCTCCAGCAGCCATTCTGATTGGCTGCTCGTCCTCAGGGTGCGGGGCAGTGGGGAAGGCAGCCAGTCAGATGAGGGGTCCCGCGCCCCACGGCGGAGGTTCCCAAGGGGGCTGGAGTCCCCAGTGCCGAGGCTGCCCTGGTGCTGAGGGAGGGGATTAACCCCCAGACCCACTCCCCGGGGATGGGGGGGATTCAGGCCCCCCTGACCCACTGCCCGGGACGGGAAGGTTTGAGCTCAGGGTGGGCCCTGCGCTAGTTCAATCCCAGCTCTCAGCCCCTGGCCAGTACTGGGCCGGGGTTGGACCCTGGTGGGCTCCTCTCACCTTCCAGGCGCCGTGAAGATGGAGGCCAGGCCTGCGGCCGCCAGGCCCCTGACTTCACCGGGGCCAAGAGGCCAGTGGAGCAGATGGTGTGACGAACTGGGACTGTTCTTGCTGGGGGTGTGTGAATGCTGACAGGCGAG